TAATACACAGGGCCAAAGGCTGACTCAGCCTCAACTTGTCTGGACCTGTATAACGAATGAAAAAGAAAATGTAATGTTGTATATGTAAATCTGGATTCAAACATTGCTCTTGTATAGCCTAAAACTGATTTTTAGTTCTCTAAGCTGATATCCTTCCTTACAGATCTATTCACTATGTTTTGACAGTTAAGTTAATTACTTTCAAAATGTCACTGTTGATTTCAGGAAAAGGCTAGAAGCATTAGTGGAAAATAGAAGCTCTGAACATAGCAGAGGTAATATGCTTAACATATAATTGCTTTTTAGACATAAAATGCACCTTTACTAAGATTTTGCTGAGCCTCAAGTAGTTATGTTGCAGTTGGCAACAAGAACACAGAAAGTTCCAGGGAGAGGTAAGAGATAGTAATGATCCTTTCATATTAATGCCAGTTGGCACACAATGAAAACACCGTGCAGATCCCCTGTTTACACTAAACAACACCCATAGCTGTTAATGGACCAGTGAAGCGGAGAGTGAGCAGTAGGATAGAATATAGTCACAGGTGGAATCAGCCCAAGTTGCAGATTCAGCTATTGAAAAGAGAGAAGACTCTTCCTAAAATGCTCATCATATAGAAGAGTTACCCAAGAAGTACATAACCAGAGTTATGCTGAGTTACAGTTCCTCTATTTATTAGGACTAAGAGGCCTCAAAATCAGGAAAAAAAAAAAAACAAAACCAAAACCAAAACCAAAAACAAAAACACCAAACTACTCAACTACTCTCATCCCATCCTCTATGAAGCAGGACCTAATCTGTAAGGAAATCTTCCACAGACCAGGACCTAGTGGCTGCTTAAATCAAGTCACATCATCAAGAAAAGAACATTCCCTGTTTTCCATTTTGCTCGATGCTTCCTTTGCAGAAAATAAACACAGTAAAGAAGTTCCAATGGTGTGTAAATGTTCAAGGGGAAAAAAGAATATATTGCCCAGTGTTAACTGTAAATTTTAAACCAATATCTGATGCAAGACTATGTTATTCCTAGATACTCATTAATTAAGTTTCAGGTTATTTGCTTTCATTATAAATTTAACTTCCCAGCTTATACTTTGCTACCCTTAAAAACAAGGCCAAAACAATGCAGAACAAAGAAAAGGAGCAGAATGAAAAGTAATTATCTGATTTACTTTTGTACATAGAGACAGTGAGTACTCTACAACACATACTTCCATTGCTCCCAGTTTTGCTGGTTTTGAATACCAGTTACTTGCAAAGCAGAAGGAAAGTGTTGAGCTTTAGGAAGCGTAGTATTTGGCAGCTATTCACAGCCAATAAAATTTCTGTACAAAACATGTGCATGTTGATTTTGCAGCTCAGAAGAAAAAACACATTTCTTTTCTCTAGGTAGCTAAGTATTGACATCAGAATCTTGACAATAGCATAAATTGCCATTAGTACACACTATTCCTTTAGTTCATAAAATTATTCACTTTCAGAAATTGAAAAAGTATGCAACATGCCAGTAATAGAATTGTCTTATCTGGAAGTTTTGTTTTTTAGTGAAAGATAATGGTTTAAAGTAAAATTACTAGTAAATCAAGTTGAGTAGAAGACCAATACAGTTAGAACAAATTCAAAATGATGTGTCTTTTGACACACAGATTTTGTACTGTAATGGATGAAAATAATAAAATTATATTAACAACATGTAATAAGTATGTTCTCACAGTATTTTTGCTGTACAGGACATAGAAGTAGAATCCAAATGCAGTTATGCTGAAATTAGGACTTGAGGTTATAGCTGACATTACCCACTGAACATCTTAGGTGTAATAGAGACAGTTGTACATGTACACCATCTTCCTCTTAAGCAGAGGTACTTGACAAATTCTGTGACAAAAATAATCCTTTCTTTCTGTGGATAAGATTTTTAGGAAGTAATGTTCTACAAGAGCTAGGAATAAAAGCTCTCAGCCCTGCAGGGATGTACTTGGGGATGTCGGTGAATGAAAAATTGGACATGAGCCAGCAATGTGCACTTGCAGTACAGAAAGCCAAGCATACCCTGCATCAAAAGAAGCATGGCCAGCAGGTCAAGGGAGGTGATTTTCCTCCTCTAGTCTGCTCTCATGAGACCCCACCTGGGGTACTGCATCCAGATCTGGGGTCCCCAGTAGAAGAAACATATGGACCTGTTGGAGCGGGTCCAAAGGAGGGGCGTGAAAATTATCAGCGGGCTGGAACACCTCTCCAATGAAGAAAGGCTGAGAGAGTTGGGGTTGTTCATCCTGGAGAAGAGAAGGCTCTGGGGAGAAATTATTGCAGCTTTTCAATATATAAAGGGATCTTATGAGAAAGACAGAGAAAGTCTTTTTACCAGTGCCTGCAGTGACAGGACAAGGGGTAACAGTTTTCAGCTGAAATAAGGCAGATTCAGACTAGATATAAGGAAGAAATTCTTTACAATGAGGATAGTGAAATACTGGAACAGGTTTCCTAGAGAACTTGTGGGTGCACCATCATGGGAAGTATTCAAGGTCAGGTTAGACAGGGCTTTGAAAAACCTGATCTAGTGAAAGATGTCCCTGCCTGTGACAGAGGGGTTGGTCTAGATGATCTTTCAAGGTCCCTTCCAACAAAAACCACTCTGTGATTCTATGAAAATTAGATTCACAGAGGTCTAAAGGCAAGTTGGAGAACACTGGTTTGATCCCCTGTTACAGCACTGACCTTGATTTTTCTATGGCTTAATTGTTACAGCAATTTTTTAAGGAAAATGTTAACCTGGACTTAAAAATTGCTAGTTACTGAGAATTTGTCAATGTTTTGTGAGTTGTCCCATGGTTACTCTTACTGAAAAACAGGTGTTTTGTTTTGAGTTCAAATCTGTGAATTCAAGTTTTAGACTTCTGCTTTATGTTTGTCTGCTGCAGTAAAAAATCCTCTTCCTAGACTGTGATTTTTCATTAATAAACATTGACAAGCAAATGGACTTGTTCACTGTTCAACAAACTTAAAAATGCATGTTTTCTATTTATGCTATTGGTTTTCTTCTGCATGTTCCCCAGTTTATCTGCATCACTCTTATCTGTGAACAGCAGAAATCTTTCAAGATCAGCAACAATGCTAAATAAGTACTAATACAACTTCTCTATTCAAGTACCTTCTGTTTATATATCCAACAATTCTGACACTAGAATTTGCACTGGGAACTTTTGTTTAGTTTGCACCCTTAGGTTTTCTTAAAGTTACAACTCCCATAGTGGACATCTCCATTCTATAAACACAGCAGTTGTGATTTCCATTCATATGATTTTCAGTGGATCATATTAGACTACAATAGAACTCTAGAAATAGAATTTCAAGCAATGCCAGATCAGATGTCTTACAGAAGTTTATTATATCAATATCAATACCTAATCAACCAAATTTATAATTTCATTAAAAGAAAGTTTGGTAGGATAGTTTCAGATAGTCTGATTTCTATAAGCCCGCTTTGATTGCCACTATTTCATATTTCAATTATCTTCGTAATAAAACAAACAAACAAACAAACAAAAAAAATTCAGATCCTCCATTATTCTGTTTCAGATCAATGTCAAGGTTTCTTGGAGTTTTTTGAAACTTTCTCTTTATCCCAGGACTTGCTTAAAATCAGCATTAACACCTAGAGACCAACTCAAGAGGGTTTCATTTTGGATAGTAATATAACTGCAGGAGTTTGTGACTGGAATAAACAACACACCTAGTACTTACAAACTCTCTTCTTTCAAAAGAATGAATGCTAAAAAGTTAAAAAGGAAAGAAAGCATCAAAAGCAGTATCTTTCTTAAGGAAGTCTTGAGGAGCACATCCTTTGTTGCTTTGCTTTTTAAATATGACTGACCTAAGTGGTACTCTACTGCACAAACCTGGATATAGCTCATCTATAACAAAAAAGCAAGATGTAAATATCATTTCCCCTAACTGCACTGATAAGGTTAGGACTATTTAAATTCTCTAATTTCAGTCTAATTTGAGTCTAAATTCCCAAAGTCTCAAGTCTTTTTAGATTAAAAAGTATTGATTTATTAAACAAAAAATATAGATAAAACTAGATTTCTGAAACTCTACAGTATATACACTTACATAATTATATATAAACAGATCATTAAATAGCAAGCAATATAACTTTTGATCCAGCAAACTCATTCTTATACAACCTGGAAAACTCCAATAAATGTCCACAAAATCCTGTAATCCAAAACCATTAATAGAAGACCTTTATCGTCATTGTGTTGATAGCATTTGTTTATGCTTCTTTGTCCTTAAAATCTTGTTTAATACACTGCTATATTCTGAGATTGCTCAGCACAGAATTTTCAGTCACATTGGTACTTGAATTTGCAAACAGGTAAAAGCTTATAATATGCTTGAAAAAAGCAGCAGAATTGCTACAGCTTCTACTTATGAAGTTGCGGAAACTTATCCAAACTGAAAAGGCCGAGAAGGACAATTTTCTTGAAGAACAGAAAGTAAATGCAAACAACTATGTATGTGTTTGCACTTTAAATATTGTAAAGAACTAAATGTGTTATTAGGTCTTAAGAATAGAACAGATCACATTCATTTTCTAAATTAATCCTTCCCCTCCTATAAAATCAAATATCTTTTTAAGATGATGATTTATGTTTCACTGTTTCAACTACAATGTCTTCATCCAGAGGGCATCTACAGCTATGTATACTTCATTACAGTGAATATTTACTTTCACGAGGTTTATATGTAAATTAGTGGCTGTTGCTGTGGACTTGAAAATAAATATGTTGATTTAAAAGGTGAAGCAGCATCTTATGAAGGCTCTACTGCTCTTTGTTTTATCTGTAGTTACTGGGAGCAACTACAGTAACAAATAAAAAAATTTGTAATGATTTTGAAGTGCTTCTGGCCATCTATGGTTTCCAGTGTTTTCTATTCAGGTGGATAAAAATAGAGTTATTCTGATATTCACTAGTGTTTTAGAGATTTTTGATCTTCAGAGCTGAAGACTAAATAATACTTTGGTAGTGTAGGAAGGAGCAGAATCTGTGAAAAGAGAAAAAAGAAATACATCTCAGACTTCAGCTATGTAATCCAGCACAAATAAATTGAACCCTTAGCTAGAAACAGCTAGGTTTGGTTTTATGTCAAAGGTACTCTACAAATGATCTCTGTGCTGTCTTTCAGAAATTCTGCTGGCTCATATTATACAGAAGCTATTCCTTCTCCAGTCTGCTTTTCAAAATCAGGTATTGGCATAATGTATAGCACAAGATTTCAGAAACAGGAAATCCAACAGTGATTCATGATCCAACCTCATCATAAAAAACATGGAGGTAAGTTTTGTTCAGGAAAGCAGAAAAGTGTATCCCTGAGCTGCTTTGCCCCAAAGGAGTATAAAGCTGGCCCATGCTTGACAGGGCCAAATGCAGGTTTCAGCCAGCCTGGCAGCCATTATCTTAGACTCCACATTTCACAAGTATGTAAATACAAGTCCATCACTACATATTTCATGATTATCTCTAAAGCCAAACTGTGATCTCAGTTTTTCCTCCATTCCTTCTCTCCATTTTAACCACTGTTGCTACCACTATCAGAATCTGGCACTTTTATAGCAGACTTCACTTTAGAAGTAGACAGCTTGAATACTCAAGTGTGCAGCTTAGGGACATTAAGGAACAAAAGTCCAGTATCAGAACATGAAAAGTATTCTGCAGCCACATCCTGTGGCCTTTCATTACATTTCTCTTTTACCAGGTCTTGTAGGACCACTACACAGACCACTTATGTGAAATGCAAGGAATGAAAAGATACCATAAGATTCATTCCACAAAAATTCATTTCTACCCACAAACTCTCAAAGACATTTAAACAGAGCGTATGGGGTATTTTGGCTCATAGGAAATTTTCCCTTTTTTTCCTAACACGTTTTACTAAACAATACTCAAGAGACTGAGAGTTACATAATTACAGTAAATATAATACAGAATAGTAAAATAAAGTAATATGTAAGCTTTCAGGTGCTGTACAATAGATATAAGCAGTGATTTTACTACAATAATTTTACATTGGTTAAACAATCAGTACATTGATACAGATACACTGTTAAAGAATGTTCTGTCAATGCAAAGAGCATTTCATATATACACTGTGTTTCTTTTTGAGGAGGAGAAGTACTTCTGCAGGAATTCAAAATCACTAATGCTAACCCCAAGAGAGGTAAGAAAATTTGGAGAATTAGGATAATCATTGCATACATTATCACTGAATTAAGGTTAATGCGTGTACAAACACACCATTAATTTTGTATACATTTGTTCAATACCAAGTTTTTTAGTTAGGGCCCAAACTTTTAACAAAACACATTTGACATTTTCACTTTCGGTGTTATTTAATACCATAACAGAAAATTACAGTTTAAGGGTACATTGCTTGTACTCTTAAAAATTAATGTTCCCAATGTACGCCTGCCTTTATATCCAAGATAGCAGGAAGTTTACTGCAAGTTAACACATACCCCTTTCCTTTAGGTCTTCAATGTATGCTTTCATAAATTCTTTCTCAAATTGCTCCCGTTCACGTTCACTTTCTATAATTTCTTCAGTGTCTTCACATACAATAGTTTCAACAGGACTGTCCTTGAGACTTATGAATCTAGACAGAGATTAACACAAGAGCTTATGCAACAGGCTTCTGAACATCACTGGCCAGCATGAATGACATTTTAGAAGTTGCTACTACAGCCGGAAGCAGAAACGTAAAGAAGGTTTACTCAATGTTTACATTATAGCATTGTTAGGATCCATCTATTATTAGAAATAAAGATTTCAAATAGCACCTTCTTTATACTCCTCTGTCCATATAGAAGTGATCAGATTTATCTCTTTCTTGTTGCCTATCTACATAAGTCATTCTGTGCAATAACAGGTATATTTCTTTATTATGGAACTTCTGACAGGCTACACTGCAATTTCACATCTGTCAATGAGCAGTAAGAACTCCATCCTAATACCATTGCCTGTCAATCTGGAATTTTGCCAGTATCACCTACCTGACACTATGTATCTCCATTTTTTGGTTGTCATTATGTTAATTCTCTTTTACAATGCATGACTGGAGGTGCATTATGTCATATTTGCAAATTCCCTAGAGCTACACATGGCAGGTGAAAAACTACATGGTTACATAAACAACTTACATAATGTGCAAATTAAGTGCACAGCATTCTGAAAATCTCTGATGATATTACCACTACAAGAAGGAAAAAAAATCAATAAGATTGTTACTTTCAAACGAAAAAATGTTCCAACAAATCATGTGGCCTTTTATAATCTCATTAATTGCCGCGAGTCTGTGGTCAGTTGACCTTGGCTGGCCAGGTCAAGCAGGTCTCTCACAGCACTTCCTCAGCAGGACAGGGGAAGAATATAAGATTAAAAACTCGTAGGTTGAGATAAAGACAGCTTAATGAAGAAAAGCAAAAGCCATGCACGGAATCAAAGCAAAGAAATGCAAAGAAAGTTATTCTCTACTTCTCATCAACAGGTGATGTCCAGCCCCTTCCTGGGAAGCAGGGACTCCGTACATGTAGCAATTGTTTTGCAAGACAAATACCTCAATAACAAATGACCCACCTCCCTTGTCCTATCTCTTAGCTTTTATTGCTGAACATGATGTCATATTGTATGGAATATCCCTTTGGGCCGTTTGAGTCAGCTGTCCCATCTATGTCCCATCCCAACATTTTGCTCATCCTCAGACTACTGGCCTTTGTGGGAGAGGGTTGGAGAGACAGCCTTGATGCTATGGGAGCACTGCTCAACAGTAGTCAAAATTACCTTGGTATGTTATCAACACCATTCTAGCTACAAACACAAAGCCCAGCACTAGAAGGGCTGCTATGGGGAAAGTTAACTCCATCCCAGCCAGACCCAGTGTAGTCTCTCAAATAGTTTCATAATCAAAGACCTGAATATTGCCTGCAGAAATGCAAGATCATTGTAATTGCAGACTAAAAGGCCTTTTAGTCTTATCCTGCATGCCATAACAAGGTGCTGTTTCACAACAAAGAATATATGAACTACTAAACTCATATGGCACTATTCAGCTTTTTAACTAGCCATGTCTCCCACTCCCAGCAGCATAGTTTTGACAGCACTGAGCTTATCAACAGCTAACTGCCAGACTACTGGTCCCACTCTGGGGTATGGCTTTGCAACTCCAGAGTTAGAGCTACTATGACCAAGTCTACAAAGGAATAGCAGTTTAGGCATACAGATGCACAATATGGGGAACTGGCAGATGAAAATCAGGAAGCTGCCGCTCCTCTGCAATTTCCAATCTCTCTAGTGCCTTCTTAAGGCCTCTGATATAAATTGGGTCAGAATTTGACTACCAAGTATGGTAGAAACTGATGCTTGTGAAAGTATTTGTCCTGGGTGCATCTGCCTTATCCTCTTAAGAACATATTCCTTTCTTTCTCACTTTTACTTACTTTAAACCTGTGGTTGACTCACAGACAGCTGTGGGTATCTCAACGAGGTCATCACCACTGACAACTAGCAAACTGAGCTTTGGCATATTGACCAGAGCTCGTGGAAGATAAGTCAACTTGTTTTTCTGTAGGAGAAGCGTCTGCAGTTGATCTAACCTGTAAAAATGTAAAAGATAAAGGTAACAAAATATTTGTTGCAGACAGGAACATCTATCCAAAATAACAATACAGACTTCATCTTGTCTAGAAGAAGAACAATTACATGCACCATCTCTGGCTTCTCAAAAATTACTCATACCACGCTTTCACAAATCGTCATCAACTTTAAAGGAAATTTCCAGTCATGGTTCAACATTATGGATACTAATGGCATACCTCTGACAAGTACTCAGAAGCATGCCCAAGATAAAAGGTTACAAAAATTACTGTGCTTTCATACAGAAGATGTTGACAGAATATGATATAAAGCCTCACCATGTGTATCACAGAACTAATGAAAAATATGGGTCATGAGCTCACACCTTTGCCCTTATGCTGGTTTCTATGAACTAGATATGTCCATGTTAGGCAGTATATTCCCATCTACTGTTTTTCACTAGTAATTAGTACTGTGGGGAGCAAGAGAAAGACAAGCTCCTGGTCATATGGCTCTTGCAAGTTGTCCCACTGAAATCAATTTAATGACAATGTTTTGTGGAGGAAGGCATTGGGCTTCCTTTGCTTTATTTCCCCTGGCTTTTCCTAATGCAATAGTAATTTGTGGCTGAGCATTTATTCCTTGGAGCAGATAGAAGATGAAAAGCATAGCAAATGGATGAAAAAAGTTTGTGTCATTTGACCAGAAGGGTCCATTCCTAAAACACTGTTGCAGGTTATTCCTTATCAAGCCCATATACTTTGTTTGAATTCAGGGAAAGATATTAAGTAAGGCTCCAGTTTACTGCCAACTCATCTTTTTTAATCACAGACTTCATGGTAGTTCATTGTGGTTCTTTGACACTGTAGGCACTGAAATCATGAGTCTGAATAAGAGTACCAGTTTACTGGGGGGGGGGAGCTGATAACCTGACATTTTCTAGTCTTCAGAATGCATGTGAGCCCAAGAGATCTCAAAATTCAAAACCCAAAGTCAAAGAAAACCTTATTTTGTGGTGTGTGATTATGATGCTTTAGTATTGAGGCTGGCAACTCAATAAAAAATGGAGAAGATGAAATGTTAAAAAGGAATACTTTGGAGACAGCGAAATATATATAGGTTACAGGGAAAAAAATGACCCTTAAGTTGAGTGGGTGTCATTCCATAAAATAAAAGTATTCTCTTAGAAGCTCTTTGAAGATAATCAAATTTCTGCTGAGATCCCCTGGAAAAAATGGCAGGTTTGTTCTGTTGTGGCTAGAGGATGTGAATTACTAATACAAATTAAGAATCCAACCCTGCTGTCAGAGAAATCTGTGATTACACAATATCCCAGAAAATTATTTTTGCCCAGCAACGAAGGTCTTGCAAAAGTTAAGGTTGAATGAATTTTCTGTGAATTTTCTTCTGCCTCAGGGGTATCTATTCTCAGATGAATAAACAATCCTTATTTTTTTTAATAAACTTTAGTTAATATGTGTTTTGGTCTACTTATGACTATGTAAAATTTTGTATACCAAGTTACAACAGGACTCCAGAGTGAATAAATAAACCAGTGATAAGAAAAGTGCTTTCTCAGGCTAGTAAGTCCCATTAAAGGGATCAGCATGATTTTTTTTAAAACTAGTTCTAGTGGATCTCTAAATTGACAGAGTGAGTGTATGTGTGCACGTTTATATACTTCAGAGTAGGAGGTGAGGATTGTCAGTGGTTTTTTTTTTTTAATCTTACCAATATTTTTCTGCTTTACTGCCAAAGTTTATCAGGTTCTTTCAGTAACTTAAATATGCTTTAATTCATCTTTCCCTCCACCCCAGGTACTCTCCAGAGAGATACTGCTGCTAACTCCATATGGTGAGTTGCCTTTGCTCGAACTGGGTCAGAGTATGCCCCATGAACTTCCCAAGTAACAATGCCTGGATATAATGACAAATTATCATGAATGCAGCAGAAAATTTAATTAGTTAACTGAACAGTAGAGGCACTGGCTGTGCAATCTGCCATCAATGAGCTAGAAAATGTAGTTTCTGTTCTCTGATCTAGTCCATCGATAATAATGGTAAAGCTTACATGCAAAACTATCTGTTGCACTTCCAAATGTGATTTTTTCATGAGATTTTTCATTAGTGGTGCCCCTTGGAACCTTGTTACTTTCTAGATTTGCTTTATAGAACACAAACCTGTCAATGAATTAAAACATAAACTACCTGTCTATGTCTTCTGGGAGATCTTTCAGGTTGTTGCTGCTAATATCCAACCACTGCAAATTAGACATCCGGAGTACACAAATTGGAATAGAATGGAACTTGTTTGCTGACATGTCCACAACTGTGACTTGTTTCAGGTTACTTAGCTAGAAAGAAGTGGTGCTTTATTTTAGTTACATTTTGCAAATACAAGAAGACATTTCATTCATCAAACATTCTTATTCTTCTGAAAGCACTTAGAAAAATGAGAATTGCATGATTTTTTACTCAGCTTTTTGCCAGCTTTATTTCTTAGTCATCATTTTATAGAAAAAAGGATTTCGGAAATAACTACCTCCTAAAGTGTTTGTCACCTTTCTAACACTGTCATGGTATTGAATGAAATTTTCATTCTAAATAAAACTACAGTTTCAGATGGCACCAAGGCTGGATCCAGATAATGACTTGGTTCCTTTCTAGGTTACATATGAACTAAGCTCTGAAGTGACACAACACAGTTTTGATAATTAACAGATGCCAGGTAACCATTCTCAAAATCAGAGATTTTATAACTCCCATCAAAAATACATAGATTTCCTTTGCTATAACTCTGTTATGCACTGAGAGTGTATTGCTAGGAGACCTTCAGAAAATGAAACTGCCAATTTAAGCCAACAGAAAATTTAGTCCAATATTTTTCAAAGATCTTTAAAAATACATCTTCCATATTGCAAACTAAATATATAATAAGGTGCACTAGAGCTTTTTATTTGAATACTTTTCAAAGGACTTACATTTTTAAGTAATAAACCTTTAGTGCAACGAAGGTTAACTACAAATGTAAAATACACCTGTTAAAGAAATAAATGTGTTAAATAAAGCTCTCTGTGTGTTGAATCAATTATTCACACTACCAGTGTTCATAAAACCATGCAACTAGCTAAAGTGAATGTCAAAAGAGTATAAATGTTAACCAAAAAAAGTACTTTAGAATGGAAATTATGTCTCTGAGCTTCTAATCATATGTCACCATCACAATCTAGCTCTATAGATCCTGATACAGAAGAGAAAGTAGAAAAAAAAATTCATTGGTCTTTGCCTGAAGGTTTCTTCGAATGTAGAAAATAATAAAGAATAATAAGGAATGAAAACCCAAATATATTTTCCACTTACAAAGTAAGCAAAATGAAAGAAACAGCATAAATTATGAAAAAATTAGAAAGTAATAAAATACATTCTGAATCCTTGAGATGGATTTTTTTAATATTATTGATTAAGAACCAAGTCCTATTTTGTTATATTTTATGAACAAACTTCTTACTGCAATAGTGCCAGACTTGCATCTTAATTTGATCCTTGCCATTTAAAATCCTCACATTCATAACTTGGTGCTGTATCTGAGCCAGTTTGGTTTGGGATTTTTTTGGCAGTGTTCTGGTTTTTTTGTTTGTGGGGTGTGGGGTTTTTGTTTGTTTGGCTTTTTGTTTTGTTTTCTTTCTAGATAAAAGCTCATATTGCTGCCAGACCTTAAAATTTGGGGAACTCTTTTCGGGGAGATTTCCTGAAGTTATCATATTACAAATGACTACATAATTAAGTTTACCTTTCAAAAATATAATAGAGGTTCAGAGTTTCTCAAGTCAAAGATATAATTTTGAAATCTGCCCACCACAGCATTAAAACAGCCTTGGTGAGACATTACCATGGAAATGTCTCACTCCTGATTCAGAACAGGCAACCACACATTTTATTCTGACACTTCTCACTTCCAAACCATTTTTTTCATTTTGAGGACTGACTACTAGCAATGAACACTCACTCTTATACTGTAAAGTTCCTAGATACTGAATCTTTTTTCCAACAAAACAGAACATCCCTTTGAATAAGGAAAGCAGAGTGATTCTTCTAGATTGTAGCAGTGAGATAATAGAGAAAATAATTGGCACCATCTTTACACTACATTTACTTTGTGGTTTCAAATTATTATCACAATTCCAAATGCCAAGCAAATATTTCAAGTTTCTCTGCACTCAGAACAATTTGCTAAAACTGTTGATACATTTCTTTCAACAAACTCTCTCCAAAAGGAATTTAGCAGACATAGAATTAAAACAATGTCCCACAGGCTTAAATGCCACCCAAAAGGTTCTCAAACCATCCCCAAAGAAGAAAAGCCACAGTCTCTAAACACCAAGAGGCAGATTATCTTAAAATAAACTGACATCACTGTTCACCCAAGTTCATAAACACTTTACTTTCACATGCAGTCACCTGTCATGCTGGAACAACTTGGTAACATTAACACTAGGTGGTAAAATGATATTTCTTCAACAGCACTAACTTGTTTTATATGTTTTCCTGATAGTGCTTTATTGTGTTAAATATTAAAAGTAACATTAATATAGCAGTATTATTTTTTTTAAAAGAGTTGTTTCTGCCATTTTTCATATAGTATTGAAAATAGATTGTTTTAATACTTGATTAAATGAAAACCTACATTTTCCAGAAGTTTGTACTCTCATAAAAATGTACCAATAAAATATAAGGCCATGGACTCTCTTGATATAAAGTTTGGTTCAGCATGCCACAGAATATATGGAGCCATGATTATATCGTGTAAGCTGCAAGCCCTCAGTATTTGTTCTTTTAGGGTAATATTTAACAAAACCTGTCCATTTTCTATACTATGTTGAAATCTAATGGAGTTTTTATTTAATCTGTCTCTGATACGTTACCAACAAACATCTATGATATACGAAGAAAACCCCGTGTATTTTATTTCTTCTTGAAGGACTGATGGATTTTTGTACTTTTTATAACATTTCATTTTCAAACAAGCATGGCTCCCTTATCATTTTTATGTTATGATTTATTTTTGCTTGATGTTGATTTTTGCTATTTTCCTCTATTATGTGACTTTGAATCAGTCAGTACATAGGCTTTATGCAAGTTCCATTTTTAAAAATAGCTGTATTTGATAGTCTAGCTACCTGGACCCACTTATTGTGGTCCTTACATTTAATCACTCTTGTCATTTTTATTTGACAAACTGCCCCATTTTGCTTATCTTAATAATTTTGTTCATAGAAATAATCCAGATGATAACATTGTAGAACTCCACTGCTCCTCTTTCCTTTCAACAATTAAACCTTCAGTTGAAAACAGAGAGCATGTCCTGGGCTGAACATGTTTTTTGATTAATGGGTGTGTTTTTATTTCTGTTCTGCTTTTGTCATGAAAGGGATTTACTGATAAGGTTGCATGCAAGTTTCTCATGAGTTGCCTACTACTTAGCACCAACAAATGAAAAGGTGTAAAGTCATATCAACCCTTACCACAAAAACACTTTATTTTTCAATTACATGTAAACATTCTGTGACAGAAGCAGCATCGCATCAAATCAATATATGACAATACGTACAAAGGATTAACTCGGAAATGTCTATCAGTGCTTTTGCCCAGAAATTTCAGATTCAGTGAATTCAAAGAAAATTTGTACCATTTCAGTAGGATCAGGTTGTCACATATGTTGTCTCCCAAAACACATAGCTTGGCACTCAGCATCTCATTAGCATGCTGAACGCAGTAAGGTGTATATGACAAAGGAGCACCCTAGGTGCAAACTGCACAGTTGCTCACTTAGATGTCATGCATTCAAACCAAATCCCCAGTTGTTCTTTCACAGAGCTGTAAGTGTAACCTCTTCTATAATCTGATTGACATTCCTGGAGAAAAGCACCAGTTAAAGAAACAGGGTACAAGCATCTTTAGAGGCAGAAGATATCTTTCATGAAGATATACTTGTGTATTTATAGCCCAGTCCACCACTGGACTTCCAAACTGGACTCTTAAACTTCAGAAGGCAAAGGCATTTAACAGTCAACCCCACCCTTTAGTAACAGGGTACTTGTTCACTTATTTTTTGACAAAACCCTCTGAAGCGTAAAAATGCATGACTTCAAACAGCACTTCATTTGGTGGTAACATGATAAGCTAAATCCAAGAAATGCATGTGGAAGCAAGTCTTCACCCAAATGGCATTGTTCTGGTTTTGCAATGCTAAAATCCTATATCTTTTGCAGAGTTAATCCACAAACAGACGCTGTTATTCTCATGCCAAACTGTTTACTTGGTAGTTTAACATTATCCCCTTTCATCTTTGGAGCAGTGCTAGGTTAATAGTTGAACTTCATGATCGTAAAGGTCTTTTCCAACCTATACGGTTCTGTGATCATTCAAACACCTAATGTTTAAAGTCTAATAGAGTAATTATAGCTATGATGATCTAAGCATAAAAAGTTCATAGAAAGGGACTTTGCTTTCTACTAGAGCAGGTTTTTTGTATATACTAACCTTTCATCAGATCTGCACAGAATAAGAAACCTGGCTGCATATGCAATATTCACAAAAATATCAAGTATTGGTCATTCAGAGGTGATTGAAGAACGACATAGCAATAAGAGCAGGACTATCTTCATACAATTAAAATCTCTAAGAATGTGGATCATGGGTTTAAATTTAAGTACAGGAGTTGTTCCAATCCAATAGATGTCACATGTCTGAAATTAAGTACTCGATTAGTGATTTTCTGGGCTGAAGCCAAAACAAGTCTGCTGTCTCAAAAAATAAATTTATGTTGATTAGTCACATTAAATTTTCATAGTACTACTGCTGCAGCTACACGCAGTCTGCATATATTATTGCACTTTGCCATCTTAAAGTAATCTCATCTTCAAATCTCCAAAACTTGTAAATTAAGGACACATAAGAAAAGAAAACCAGGCTCTACCAAAAGTCAATTACAGGTTTCTCATCAACTTAAATAGATCCAGTAACTCACTATGGGTGCATACTCTTCATATGTTTTAATTAAAACATTAGAAGATCAAGAGCAGCAATGTCAGTAGCATACAGGCATTAACTGACCTCTCCAGAACGTTTGGATAGGAAGTGTCCTTTGAATATATTGAAAGACCCTTTTAAGATATATTCTGTTCCTTTACCAAGAGATGACCAAAACTGCTCACTTTCATAGTAGAATAGAGACAAAACCAAAAACTTTTTTCATTTCTGCTCCAAAATGCAACAGCAATTGAAGAGATACTCTTCAAATGGTGCCATTTTAATTATTTAAACATATACAAAGATTCTGTTTTGCCATGACATA